AATAGCTCCATACGTAGTAAAGTGTTGACACAGAATCTCTGATGGATAAACACAGAGTCCTTGGAGTTAAAGTGTCCTTCAAAGATCAGCAAGGCCCTTTTAGGCATCTTTAGGGAAAGCTTTTGAAAGTATGAAAAGACAACGTCGAAATACTGAGAGAATAAGAATGAACGATCATATGGCTGAGTTGGGAGATAAATCCTAATTTTGCATGCACTAGAAGGTAATGTGCTGGAAATTTCTTGTGTAGGTTGATATTTTCTCTTCTATAAAGCATCAGTAAATAAAATCAGTTAAGTGTTTGGGAGTGGTTCAGTTGGTTGAAGAGCCCTTGTGTTCTTTTTCTCCAAAAATTGTATTTAACCAGGCATAATTATGAACACAGTGCAGGGCGTTGACAGCAGATGTGTGTAATTGCTGGCTGGATGATGTCATAATATTATTAAGATATTGACTTAAAATGGAAGTGGTATGTTTTACAGCAGACAGATCCATGTGGCATATGTGGAAAAGCAAAGGCTGTGTTTAGAGTGGTCGGTTCATGTGTTTCAGTGAGTCAGTGTGACAAAGTGCCACACTTTGCTTTCTATGACATAAAAACAAAACAAAAAACATTGTTATAACTTTTAACCTACTAAATGTGTATACTGTACATTCATTACAGGTTTAACAAAACACAGAATATGCTGTTTGGTTTGTAGCATGATCATGGTGTCAGGATGACAGAGAAAACAACAGAAATGCATAAATTAACATTTCTGGTGTTTATCTTTTGAATAATATCAGAGTTTATGGAAAATCAGCATCTAAAAAAATAGTTGGACAGTTTTCTAAGCTTTTTTTTTAAGCATGTTTGGTATTTGTCTCTGTTGACATGTGCTACGTTCATCTACAGCCCCCCCTAAAAAGTCCTGCTGACCTGTGTACTGCCAAGTACAATAATTACTGAATAAATTAAAAAAAATGAATGAATTATTGTTAAATTTTGCTCATTTGGTTATGTGGGACACACAAGTAACTTTTAGCATAATAGTTCCTGGAAACAAATGAGCTTATGTGTGTGAGCCATGGAAAAGTGAGTGACAAACTGAAACCACATGAATACCAAACAAATCAAAATCTGAATATTTGAATGAATTGTGCATGGATTGTATGGCCTTCCTTTAGTTACTCTCAGTTTGGCATCAGGTGATATAATCGATTTTAACTTTCACTACAACAGGTCGTGCGATCACTCTCCTTCAAACTCTTAAGTCTCCTTCGGTAATCCTTCAAGGCTTTGAGTCATGTGATATAGAGTGGTTATGTCCCCAGGATCAGACACCGGCCATGTGCTGAGGATTGTGGACTCTGTTATGAGGTTGAACATTTGCTCTCTGCCTGCCTCCACAATCACTGCTGAGTCATTCTCAATTACCATATGGGACTGGCTGTAATTTGCAAGCATCTGCTGAAAATGGGTGTTATTCTCAGACACGATGGCTTATTTCCAGAGCAGTGCCCATTTCATGAAAGCTGCCCGAGTGTTTCTGTACTCATGTTACTGCACCAGTTTCATTTGGCACATCGTCCCTCTTTAGCCTTTAAGCAGTGCCATATCATGTCACTCTTAAACTTTTATTTCCCTAGGGAAACTTTCACTTTATAAGTAGTATTATTTTACATAGTGCATTTCCTTTTCTGGATCTGATGGTTGTGTAATTGTGAGATCTGACTCATTACTCATACCCTCCTTAAAGGGAAAAAGAAATGCAGTTCTAAATGTCAGCCTCGGCAATTACCTGCACAGACATGAATGTGATATTCAGATACTCTTGTTTGCGTGGCAGGCACAGCCGCAATAGCATCATCTTACTTGAGCAGATAATGGATTTCATTGTGCTGTGGTGCCTTTCTGTTTTTCAAAGAAGATTACACAGCAGGGGGACATAGAAGTACGAGTATCCATTCACTTTATTCCACAAAGCTCCTGAGGTGAATGGAAATGTTTCTCTATTATCTCAGGACTCTTTCAGATTGGTTCCCCTCTAGTTGACTTAATATTTACAGACTATGAGAAAATGGACACAAAGCATTTTGTGAACGTTAACTGCCAGCAGTGGCCGCATTTGATATGTGGATGCTTTGTTCTACCTGGTTTTACAGAGACTGTTTGATAACTACTAAATAAAAATGTGCTGTCTAAAGAAAAAAAGTAGTGATTGGGAGAAGTGTTTGTTGAGACAGCCAGCCTGATAGAGTGAGTAGAAAAGGAGGCGGCACAGGAAAGAGGGAAGTGGGTCATAGAGGAAGCTGACCTAATAGCATTGTACCATCCATTCACGGGATAAATCCAATAGGAACAACTATTAAAAGCTTACTGTTTAGACGTATGTCTCATCTTTGCGACCTTTCTGTTGGCTGTCATGGAAAACATTGCTTTATTTTTTAAAAGCCACAGTTCTCTCCTATCTTGATTTCTTTCTGCTATGTATGTCCCATGAGGGTTAGTAAGGAAGAGGTTAGAGGTGGTATAGGGTACAGGAGGCCGGTTTGCATCTACAAAATGTGCTTTTTGTGCTTATTCTCTCAGCAAAGTGGTGCATGAGTCAGAGTTGTTTTTGCTCTTTGCTCTTTTGTGTACAATGAGAATCCCCTTCTTCCACAAGATAGCGTAGCTGTGCCAAACATTATGTATACAGCAAATAAAGTCTAGTGCCAGGAAGTAACATTGTAAAGTGTGTATGCCCTGTGTTCTTTGTTAATTTTCTAGCAAGCTTACTTGAGACAGATGAAGAGAATACTCTGTTCATATGTCATGTGGGTAGCAGCATATCCACTTCACTTCACATCATCAGCCTTCGCCCCTTGTGTGGGTGAAGGCTCAGTTTACTGAGGAACAGGTTTTTTTTTTAGCTGGGATTCTTCTAACTGACTGTTCCAGTCAACGACTCCATGGGGGAGGCCCTAAGATAAGCTGGAAATTTTGAGAACCCATGTCTGTTTTAAGAGTTGTTGATAAAGTAAAGAGTGTTATGCCATTGCTCCGATATCATCCAGAGAATAACATGGGCTAAATCACCTAAATTGGCCATAGGTGTGGATGTTAGTGTAAATGGTTACGTGTCTCTCTGTGTTGGCTGGCGACCTGTTCAGGGTGTACCCCACCTCTTGTTCAATGGCAGCTGGGATAGGCTACAGCCCATCAGCAACCCTGAATTGGATAAATGAAAGAAAAAAAAATTAATGAATGGGTTAGAAATAGAGCTGGGCGATAGAACGATAACGATATGTATCGCGATATAACTTTTACTCGATAGAGAAATTAAGCTATCGCGATAGACCTCGCCGCTCTTGTCCTTAAAAAAAAAAAGAGAAAAAAAAGTCAGCCAATCCAAATTAAGTAGCGCAGAGCCGAACCAATCACAGCCGCAGCGTCACGTCGCGTGACTTGTTACGTACAGCACAAGTGCCAAGCCGCACGTGTGTTTGTTTGGGAAGCAGCCAGCGCGTAATGGAGGAAATGAGTGTGCCGACTAGAAAAATCAACCGAGCGTGACCGAAGAGAAAACAGATGATGGTTCCAATGCCGGAGAGATTGTCGAACGGAAGAGCCATAGAAGTTCCGTAGTGTGAAGGTATTTCGGCTATTTCAAGTCTGACAAAAAACAGAGTAGTAGTGATGTGACGTTCTGTATCGAGGCTTCGAAGCGTGTGTCGAGTAATGGAGGGGGCGTTTCCGCGAAGCGCGTATCGAGGCTTGCTTCATTTATGGGAGGAGCTGAAAATGATGACGTCCGAAGCCTCGCTGCCCGGCTGTACCACGTGACTGGTTCAGGAAGCGGTTCGAACTTTGCCGCAAATAATCATTTTCCATACTGCCAGCATAAATATACACAGTATACTGCCATCACTACAATATAGATGTTTTACACACTCCTTTTGTTGTTGACATTTACAGGCTGTGTGCAAAATGCCACACTCTTCAAATTCATGCCAACTAATATTTTTACGTCCAGTAGGTGTCCTACTAGAGCAAATGAAGCTTCAAGAAGCTTCGCGTTGGGGTGAACCAATTGGATGAAAAGCTTCAGTGCTTCATGAGGCTTCATCTGCCCATCACTACAGAGTAGCGTGCACTGTAAATTGTGCCGAAAGCAAGTCTGGAAATACAATAAACTGGTGCATGCGTCACACTGTGCGCCACGTTATTGTTTCGGTGAAATGAATTTCTACAATACTGTTACTGTTAATTCTACTCTCTGCAGTGTTTAAATGCTTACATATACACACAGTTACTGTCCCTCCACACATACGACTCGGTTCTGCTTCTATGCCCCAGCTTTGTTTACTTTTTCCCACCGAGGCTTCTAGACTTCTGATTGGCCAACATTTCTGCACGGTTAGGAATCTAGCGCCACCTGCTGCTTTGGCATGTTCATAGCAGCGTTTTCCTTCATTTCTGCCTTTATGTGTGGACGGGATTATTTTTTAAAACGAAAACGGAAAATCTCCGTTTTCAAAAATACCCGTGTACGTGTGGACGTAGCCTCAGTCTCTGACTGGAAGCGCTAATTCGTCATTCGGCTTTTGTCAGACTAAAGTAACTGTTAAAACTGTTTGAAAAGCTAGCTATACAACAAGGAGAGATTGAGAATTTCCTTTTAGTTCTCAGTTTATTTGATATTGACAAAAGTTAGTCAGTTTTGTCTGTTCTTCTGTAAAACAAACTAAGATTTATTTTTAGAATTAATATTTTGTTTCTAAGTGGAATTGACAATTTAGTCTGTTTCGTTTGTTCTATTTTGAAACTTAAACGCTTTAGCGGCTGCCTTTTGTGTAGTTTGCAATATTTGCCTTTATTTATCTGAAAAAGTCTCATGTTCCTTAAGTACATCTACCCTGTTGAACTTATTATGGGAAATAAATATTTAAATAAAAACAAGCTGCTGATTATTTCACATTTTACTTGTGAGCAACGGCACATTTAAATCTTACAAATATAGTTATTTGGCTTATATCGTGATAGATATCGTTATCGCCTGAAATGAAAAAAACATATCGTGATATGAAAAAATCTCATATCGCCCAGCTCTAGTTAGAAAAAACAACTACAACCTTTAAGTTATCAAATGTGTGTCATATCTGGTAATTAAGGCCTCAGTACACAGGTGTACTGACCAGTCTGTATCACCCTTGCTTGGAAGAAATGTTTACCGGTTCTTCACCTGGATGGTGAGTGGTTTCTGGAGGTTGCTAGCTGTCACAAGGTGAAATCAGTTTCAAAGGAGGTACTGCACCAAAAATATCTTTGTGATGGCTTTGGTTGCTAGCAGATTGCCACGTTGGGCCATAGTTTGCATTAAAGTTTATCTGCAGACACATGCCATTTGCTGTCCGGAGCTGCGGTAAAACTTGAAAAAATGCACCAGAAACCAGAAATGGAGAATGTTTACTTTAAAAGTACAGGTTGTGCTTGGTGGATTGTGCAGATTGTGTGTATTTACAGACAAGTCAGCATCTTCCATGCAATCTAATGTGATCACAGCAACCTGCTAGCAACCAAAGCAAGGAGGAGGTTTTCAGTGCAGCACTGGATACCTGTTTATGACTAATTTCGTGCTAGTGATTTCACATATGCCTTGTACCAGCAGAAAAATCCAGGTTAGGATTAATCTAGAGGGATAGTGTTAGTCAAGTGCAACGCTAAATTGCACTGAAACCCTCCGGGCTTTATCGTAGGTGTAAATACGTCCCTGACAGAAACCCCTCACTGTGCAGTGACTTCATTTGAGCCACATTTTTACTCGTTTATGACTAAATTGAAACTGCAGGTCGCCCAGTGGTATAGTTATTCAGTGCCTAGCTTGTGTGACCACACAGTAATATGGTTTTATGTGGACTTACTTCAAAAACCAGCCTCTGACTGCTTTTGAACAGCTCTAATGACCTCGCTGACAATGACTGACATCTGCGCTGTTGCTTGGTGACACTTATCAGCCGTTCTCACCCTTGTGGCCAATCATAAGTTGGGAATTAAATGGGGCTGTCAGCTGCACTGCAGTGTTCTCACAGCATGGTTCAAGTGAAGGTCATGTAAGGAGGGAGGGAGAAGACAGAGAAATGTCCCTCTATGCATGTCAAACGTATACACCAAACCTCGAATATACAGCTTGGTGTTAGTAGAATGGGAGAGCTGACATCTGTCCTGTTATGATAGAGAACATAATTAGAGTTATATAAGTGCCACCAAGACTTCCACACCTCAGAAAGGGGTGTTTTTGTAAAGGATGACTCAGGGTAGATTATGAGAACTTTTCAAAAGGTGTCTCTGTGTGTCGTGACTAGTCAGCAGTATGACTCAGTTTGGTTCAGACTTTCTTTGGCAGTGTGATGGTTGAATGTTTAAAATATATCCCAAATCAGTGTCGCATCACAACAGTATCCTCAACTGCCATTCAGCTTTAATAGAAAGTATTTTTGGCTCAAAATAGCTTGACAGTTATCTACTTTGCACCTCTGGTGTAATTACATACAGGCAGAGCAGCTGATTTATATTGAGCCATCTGGCAAAAGCGTTGAGTGAAACAAAGTAAAACCTTATTTATGCTTTAGAAATCCTGTATGTTAGCCTCCAGTTCTGCTGCTGTTATAATGACCATTGCTTTAGACTCCATGCTGGGACTTATCAAGGCATGTGAGATCACAGACACAACAGGATGAAGTGGCAGTGCTCGAATGGTTTTACTGCCAGCACTTAACAGAAATGGTTGACTGAATGGAACCAGTATGCTGTGTTGACCATGAAATGAGTGGAAGTAAATTGAATTCACAGTGGAGCTTTACAAGAGCCACAGTATATTCCTCTTTACTGGAGGCAGGATCTGTTTCCTTGATTATTCCCTCTGGTGATCTCATGATAGCATAGGGCAGCATTCTGTAAATTGCTCCTTCAGCTTGTAGATAAGCCTTCCTGTGTTGGGGGCGATTACGGTATGTGACTTTAGTCTTTTTAACATATTGCGGATCATATTTTTGGTGTGTTTTCTCTCCTCTGCTCTCCTCTCCTTTCACAGCACACTGAGTAGGATCCCTAAAAGATTCCCCATCAAATATTAACGCCCTCATAAAGGCTCTGTTCTCTCCACCCACACACCCATCAGCGCGCGCGCCACACACGTCACTTTACACGCATACTCAGGCACACATGCAAAGACAGAGCAGGGCAGCATACAGCTCAACCTTTGAAGGGTGTCTTCCTTTTCCTGTGCTCTACTTTCTTTTGCTGCTACCTTACTTTCAGTTTAGATGATGGAGGAAACAAAGTGTAGATCCACTTGACTGCATTTATTTCTCCCCTTGTTGATTAATTTGGGGATAAAAATGATGAGCAACTCAACATAAATTCACCAAGTTAAGGTAATAGTTTTTAATCTACTTTTCTGTGATGCACATTAGGGAATAGATTAGATGAGTCTCACTGAAAGATGCACTGATGTGATGATGTGATTTTGTCTTTGCTTGTTGTGGTCTAGCTGTAGATCTCAGTGCCGTGGCTTGCCACACCTTATCTTGCTCCCCTCTCTTGCACTCACTGTTTCCTCTGTTGCACTCTGTCATTTGATCTGCCACGTTTTAGTATAGAACATTACCAAATTCTCAGTGCTTTGTCATTGGATTAGCATCCTTTAACATCAGTGCAGCTCTTCCCAGTATTGCTTTCACTCAATACACATTAGTCTAGCGCCAGCGTTACTTTCAACCCTGTCTCATTCTATTAGCCTTCTCTAATGGCACTCTGTTAATCTCTTCAGGGACACAGCTATGACCCACAACTGCTCTGTCCAGATGACTGGCCTAGTTATTACTCCAGTGAGACTCTAGACTCAGTCAATATATGCAAATGAGGTTGCACTTTGGTTTTGATTCAGTGCTGTGTGAAGTTGCTTAGGCTGTGCATTTTCGTTTTTAAAATGTAATTTAGTTTTTTTTTTTTAATAAATAGGACAGGGGGAATGAATGAGAGAAAGAGGGGGAGAGAAAGAAAGAAAAAAAAATGACAAAGGATGAACTGAAGCTCTGCCATCACGTAATGTCGCATACTGCTGTTTCTGATGTCATTAAAAAAAAAAAAAAAATGTAATTTAGTTGGTTGACACAGTTCCTAAATGACTGAGTTGATGGTAAAACTGCTTTAAGATAGAGGTTGAATGGGCATGGCTGGGGTGGCCCATACACTTCAGAGCTTTATTCTCACACAGTAGAGCAGGTTGGATGACATACTGTGCTCTTCAGACAAGGATAATGTGTCAGTTGAGTTATGGAAAGTAGAGTAGTAGGCTACAGATTTGTTTATTTTTATGATGTTATTGTTTTTGTTCAGTCCCACATGAGGTAATATAGTTGTTGCTTTCAACCCCTTCAACTTAAACGCTGCTTAAAATGTGCCACTTTGAAAAATGACCTAACAGTATTTTCGTTAGAAAGACAGAAAATGAATCTCGTGACTTTGGATTGTAAGGTTAGTGCATGAGTACAATTAGTAAAAATATTGATACGAATCCCACCAGAAACATTATATCTTCCTTGACATCCCTTATGCTGTAGTATACTTATTGCAGAATTTGAATAAAATCAAAAAAACTTCTCATCCCTTAAATTATTAAAAGTCTGCTGATGGAAAGCTAGAAGAGGAAAAAAAAAGATGGATGTAGCTTGACGTACTGCTCTCTAGAGAGATGGTATGGAGGCTTTGTAATGATAGGGAACTATGAGCACTGGGAGTTAGGGACAGATTAGCTGTGGGGATAAACAGCAGGAATGGGGGATTTACTGTGTGTAGTAGAGCACCTCCATTCATGCGTAGCCCCAATGACCCAATAGATCATCGCTCCAGGCTGTCGCATCCTATCTGCATCCATCCTGTTACTCCTGAAGAATGCATCTTTCTAGTTTGGGTGCATGTGTGCGCATCAAAAGTGAAAGCTTTGCCAGAAGAGAAATGAACGACCTTACTAATCCAGATCAAATTTTTCAGCCTTCCTGCTCCTCTGTCGGGTGCTTTCTGCATGGCTGTCCTCTGAGTTTGAAATGAAGGAAGGCCAAATACCCTGACTGTCACTATGAAATAAAGTGCACCATCCCTCTGGGACAGAGAGGAAGAAAAGATGTCATGTCACTTTACTGTTCATTTCACACACAGGGATCACTGCTGGGATGCTAAGCTATCCGTCCAGCAGAGGATCTCTCTGTAGGAAAAGTGTGCCTCGAGTCTCGTCCTTCTGTTTCTCCCATTCTAATTGCACTTACGTGAATGTCCCTGTCTTTTCTAGTTTAAGCTTACTCCTGTCAACCCTTCTTCTGCTTGCTTTTGCATATCACAGATAATTTATTATAATGATATAATGATGCTTTGGACATCGAGATGAACATAATCTTTTACAGCTTCACTCTGTAAACCCAATATTTTGCTTTCCCGTGACATCATTTTTCAGTTCAGGGAAGGATGCTAATAATCCTGACAGCTAGACTATTCCTGGGCTATTTTACTATTGGAATCACATAAGAACCATATAGTTATAGTTCAGACCTTATACTTGATTTCAGCAAAGGGATATTTACTTATTTACCAGTACTTGGCTGTGGGGGAGGGGCAAGTCTCCAGATATGAGCGTTTGACAGATGGTCTGCACGGTTTACTGCGCTACTTCTGAATGTGTGTCAGTCAGTTAGGATTTTGTTTATTTGTGGCTTTGTTGTGCTGACCTTTGTCTTTGTACTTTTTATTGGAATAGAGCCGGTTGGGAAGGCTATTCTGTGCATAGAAATTAGTAAAAGGCCATTCACTTTGAAATTATTCAGCCAACAAAAACGGGGTTATTGTATATTTTAAAGTATAGAAAAATTTATATAGACAATACCCATCTGAATGCTAACTCGTACAAGGCCTTGATGATAGGACATTATTTGCCTGTTGATTTGTAGTTATTTAAATGTTTTAAGGTCACTTGTTTGAATTTTTTGATACACTTGCCTTGCGGTTAGTAAAAGGTCAAAACCTCAACGGTGTTATTTTTCCTTGCTGCATCTCTATAAACAGGCAGCAGCTTACTGATTATAACTTTCAGTGGCTGAGTGATGGGTGAGACGACCCAGATGAACAAGTATTTGCCACATTTGCTGTGTGAGTTTGCTGCTATGTGGTAGTGACCTGCCACTGTAGATATGAATGAAACTGGAAATGTTGTGAGGCCACTGACAGTTGCAAAAACCCTTAGTCTAATCACCACCCATTAAACACACACAGACAGGCGTAGTCACTACCCCCTCCAGGGCAAAGAGGCTTTGGTTGCCCTGCCTGCACATGCTGACCTGATTTTTTTTTTTTTTTCCATCTGTGTGTAAGTGTGTGTGCATTTTGCATCTAAACACATGTGTGTTTGTGAAACAGATTAGGAAGGTGGCATTGCCAGACACTTCCGTGGCAGAGTCTGTTTGAGCACGTGTTCCTGTATAGGAATGTGGGACACTGTAGCAGAGAGGTTTTTCCAAGATAGGAGATCCATATTGTGACTCAGCACACCCCCTCCACCTCTTCAGAGTTGATTGAATTATTGCTCCCGTAAGTGTGTTTGTAGCTGTGTGACAGTTTGTCAGGGGATCCACTCATGGGAACTTCCTGATCTGCCACAAAGTTACAACACAATAAGCTTTTCTTGAATGATAACTTGTAATTTTTAAATAACATTTGGTGTAACAGTAGGTTTTTTTTTTTCTGTTGGCACTTAGTTTTGGTAACTGCTTTGTTTCCTTACACAGATTGTTTGCTTTCTGCTAACTACACTAGCCATCTGGGTATCACCAACTTTTCAATTTGTAGTATTCCCTAGCCAGATGGATATAACATACAGGTACACCACCAACACATGTACACTTGTCACATGGGTGATTGAAACTGAATGAATCAAACAATGAGCCAGAGGGAACAGGCTTGTATTCTCCCTTCATTGGCTTTAATACTGTATATCCTCCATTCACTATTCATTATGTTGGCCACCTTCCCAGCTCTGGTTTCCCCCTGTCCCACAGGCAGTGTCTACCAATTTACCCACTTTTTCTTTCCTCTCCTTTTCTTTCTTTTTTTTTTTTCCATTGGAGAGACAGTTTGGAAGCAAATTCTCCAAAACCAGTGCCAGGTGCAGGGCTATTTATCTGTAAACCTCTAAAAAAAATTAAAACTCACTCTATGAACTTGTTATTAATCTTAATACATTTACTTAATCTCAGTAGTTTATATCTAAGAAATATCTAAGACATTCACAAATGTTTCCAGCAGAGTTCAGTGAAGAGACATCAGATTTACCATGTGGGATTCAAATTTGTGGTTATGAGACAGCTGAAAGGGCAGAGCCTTTTTGTTTCCCGAGGGTCTGCATGCACACACCAAGACAAACTTGGCGTGACAAAGTTTCAGGTCCCCATGCGTGCCAGATTAATTCCTAATTCCACTCACAGTAAACAGTCTATGAAAAGAAGATTGCAACCGTTGCGACAGGTGGAAAGGAATATCTTTAGCACTATTACTGGATAATTACAAGATAATTATAATAGCATTGCTGATGAGAACACGCAATTGCATGTGTGTGCTTGTGCATCTGAGTGCATTTGCTAGTTGCAGTATCTTAACTGTGTTTGGCATTCTGCTTTCTGGGTTGGGCTTTCATTAGTAGGCTTTGATGTCACTCATGGGAAAAGATGCTCTGTTATAATAACAACTCCAAGTGGGATAAGCATTAGAAAAGTATCAAAACAATTAGTGACTATACAGATCTGTTAGATAGTGCAACATGGTTTTCAGCTGAATAGGTTATTACACTGAACATCACAGATCCACTGCAGGTTTGTGTTGATGACAAGAAAAACACACGAAAGTCAAATTAACATATTTTGTAATTATATAAATAACCAAGAGTTCACTGATACTGATTTCTGACATTATTTTAAAAAATAAAAGTAGTTTTTTTTTTTTTTTTTGAATGACAGATAATAAGAATTGCGGGGGAGGGTTGTGATTTGTTTTTCTTTTATTTAGACAGTTTGTTTCGATATTTAGACAGCAGCATGGATATAAAAATAAGAATTATTAAAAGACTAGTGATTAATTCAAATGTTTTACCGTGTGATACTTTATCACTAAGTAAAGTTATGGACACTCTAATCACATGTTATTCTGTTTTTATATCAATTTTCTTTTTCTCAGCTGTGGAAAATTCCATGCCGCTCCATGCCTTGGTTGGCATCTAATGGAAGAAAAAGCATCCATCAGGTCTGCCATGGTATCCAGACTGCCTAAGTTCAGTGGACGGTCCTCAACTAGTGGCGCCAGTGCCCTTTCTAATGGTTCTGCACATCCAGCCACCCCTACGCAAGATGGCAAGGTTACTCCATCAGCAACACGCCCAAATGGTGTGATCCAGGCGTCACCCTTTTCCCTAAAATTGAAGAGAGATGAGGGGGTAAACCCCTCTAGTCCATCCATTCCCACTGCCCCTGAGGATGAAAGTGAAGACAAGGCTCAGACACAGCTTCCCTCTGTGATCAAGGAAGTAAAGAATGGCTCTCCAGCAACACCTAAGATGGGCAGATCAGGCTCTTTGATGGTGGCTGTCTCAAGCCCAAAGGCTATTCAAAAGCAATCCTCAAAGATGACTCCCAAAGTTGGGACCAAGTTAGGCCAGAGCCCCATGAATGGAAGTTCTAAAACAGGTAGTAATAGTGCAAGCATTCCTACTCAGACAGGGTTGGAGTCTCGGCTTGTGCGACCAAGGTTAGGCTCTAGCTCTACCAGAAGCAACTCTCAAGACAGCCTATCCCAGTCCAGTGAGAGCCTGAAGATTGTAGCACTGGACAACATGGTTCGTTCAAATAGTTTCACTCACTTTAAACAGATTCCCTCACCCACCAGTGAGCCTATGATACGGTCTTTCTCTTTTAATCGGGCTGTGGAACTAGCCAAGCCTCTGGCCAACACTCAGCTGCGGCCTCCTCGGAGTAGTTTTGTCAAACCCCCTCAACTGAGTAATGGAAGAGTGGGTTTAGGACTGCATGGCAGCCTTGGAGGTTTAGGTGGTTTAGGTGGGGTTGGAGGACTTCAGTACAACAAAAATTCATCAGTTGCGTCCTCTCTGCCTGGCCCTTTGATCACTACGACACCAACTACTCCTCGTACTTTAAGGAAGGCTCTGCTCCCCAGTAGTGTGTTGACCAAGTCAATGGCTAGCAGTGGGGTGTCGTTGTGCTACAAATTGCCCCGAACTGGGCAGGCTAAACAGCAGAAGTCTCTTTTACCAGGTAACATTAAGGAGGATATCAGCTCTTCAACTGCCTCTGATTGTGTAGGTCTACTGGAGAATGAATCAACCTACAAGGCTGACAAAGTCGAATCTCAAAGTGAAAGTGACAAAAGCTCTGGGAATGCAGAAGGAAAAGGAGGAGAAAGCGGTGGCCAAACAGCAGCCGAGACCCTGGAAGACATGTCCTTATCTTCTGCTTCATCTATAGAGAGAGGTGACATCAGTGAAGAGTTTCTAGATGACTTCGACAGTGTGGGAGATGTTTTCAGTGATGGGGACATGCCTGACAACAGAAAAGCTGCCAGTGATGCCCAGCTAGACGGTCTCCTAAATGAGACCAGTGACTGGGAGTCTGTGGATCTGACTGGTAAAATTCACCCTTTGGAAAGCAAATTCAAATAGATACAGTGCTATCCTTTGTGGTTTTTGTTCAGCCTTTTGTCTATGTGGTTGCAGGTCATAAGGAAGAAAGTCCTATGCAGGAGTCCCAAGGATCACTGATGCTATCTCCAGAGCAGACTGATGCCCCCCAGATTTCATCTGTGGAGCTGTCACCCTCCAACAGCTCTGGTGGAACCTACATGTGGGATGAAGAAGGGCTTGAGCCCCTTGGGGGGCCTGCGGCTCATCGGTTAGACAGCTATGATGACTCAGAGCTGAACAGCATAGTAAGTCCTCATTTCACCTTTAACTAGTTTTTACATAAAAATGTAAAAACCCCACAATTCTTTTTTTCAGTTGACTCTACTCTGATTGTGATTTTAAAAAAATATGAAATTTAAATTATTTTAAGCAACTAATTAACAGTAAATTAAGGAATAGTTTGATATCCATATTTCTGAAGAATAATTAATCAATTATGTGTGTTAAAAGTAAGCGTTCTTCTTCTGCCAATCTTCCCCTCCTTGCCTTTAAGTCAACTGGCAGATAGCTCAGTAGCATTTTTTAGAAAATGAAAGAGGTGGAGAGCAGCCAAAACCCTTTAGCGATTATGTGGTTACTCGGGCTAAAAACCTCGGAGAACACTTAGAGCTTCTGCTTTAGCTGATTGAAAGTTGGCAAAGAATAGGCTTGTGTGACTGAGAACTGGATTTTTTCCAAGTAAGAAGGAGAGAGTTGAAGGAAATGTAAAGGTTTTGAGCCTTTAAGCATGACCTGCTACACATTAAAGAAATGGTCTGTTAACATTTCTGTGGCTTCTGCAGACAAGAATTCAAGCATCTTGCAGACCTCAAAGGGCTTTTGATTTTTTCTACCAAGAAATGGAAGACTAAAATATACCCAATGTAATGTATGCAGTGTTAATTTCAAGAGCCAAGTCTACGTTTAGTTCTGTCTTGTCTAAAAATACGGTGTATATACTTTATGCCCTACTTGTAGATTATGCTGCCTTCATGGTGCCAAAGTTCAGTAGTCAGTTTCACTTTTAAATAGTTCTTCTTTTTATATTTATACATTAATGGCCAGAACAAAGTCTGTAAGAAAAAAAAAATCAAAATTTTCTAGTTTTCAGTCAGCTCTCTCTGCCCGTCTCATGCCAAGGCTTCGTTCTGTCTCAAAGGAAAACTAACCTGCTCACCAGCCGTGTAGTATTAGAATTTTCTGGCCTTGCTTTGATTCTCTATATTTTGGTACCCAAGCACCTGATCTCAGGAATGCATAAAGAGCTTAAAATGAGCTGGATTGGAAATTTTATAATACGCTTTGTGTGTTTACTACTTTCATTATGTGACACAACCTTCAAGGCACTGAAAGTGCCACATGTTTATCTCACAGTAATGGATTAGGAGTGAATACAAAAGCAAAAAAGCACTACTGGTTTTGTGTATGTACAGGATGTGCCTGTATTTGTTCAGTGCTGTGATCATTACAAGCACATGTGCATTAGACATGTGTATGTGATCAGGAGTCAGTCAGTATATCTGTGTATGCAGATGAGTGTGTTTGAGTGCATTTCTCTAATAGATCCGTTCAACTGTTATCATGATGGAGACTTCTTGAAAAAGCAAAGGCTCGATAAAAGTCCATGTGCATTTGGTCATCTTGTGGTCCACGTCAACCTGTTTATTGGCCTGTTTATTTAAAACATATATGTTCATTAGTACTCAGAAATATCACAAGTACAACAAATGATTCTCTGAAATATAAATAAAAACAAAATGTGTTGTTTTTCACAATTTCAATTTCAACAATTTTGAAGTCTTATATTTAATTGAAAATAATAAAAATAGACAACAAATATTAAAACTAAGAAGATTATTTTTTGTTGTTTCTTTTTAAATGAATGCCCTTTTCCCCCAAAAAAAGAAACTTTAAAGACACATGCAAAGCACTGTAAAATGACAAAAATTTTCCGTCACACCTTTTTAAAAAGGTGTTCCTAGCATGATATTCAAACAAGCAGGGAGCATTTTATTCAAGCAGTCAGATTTTAAGTTTCAGTATTTGATAAGTTGTTTTTGTTTAATCTTGAGTCATATAACATTTAGGCATGTAGACATGGGGAGAAACACTTTTTATATTCAGATAATCTTAAACTTGTTTCTTGGACATGACAGTGAGTTCATGCCAAGAAGTCATCAGATCTTACACTAATAGAGTAAAATAAAAATCCACTTTGATTCCATTCTGTCATTGAACTGCTAGATGATGCATCTCTGGATGTGACTGGACACTGGATAGATGTTACGATGCTGATGCATTGACTTTCACTGAGTATTTAATAAAGCTCAACAACCCAGACGTTTGTAGAGGAATTCCTTCATGCAGTATCCATTTCTTTTGAAGAACTAGTGTGGTCAGTGAAGAGGGCAGTGGTGATATTGCGTGTTGTATGATTTGAATGAGAGAGCAGAAGCTAGATGAGAGAAATGCAGTTTAAAAAAAGAAAAAAAGGTAATAAGTAGGACCAAAAAGAAAGAGAGAGAGGGAAACTTAGTGGGTGACTGCTGGTGTGTGAAAATTAACTCTATGGGGAATCTGCCTTTGAGATATTTAACTGAGCTATTTGATTAGAGGAAATGAGTCCATTTACTGTAATTGGATGCAGTTAGCTTTCTCTAACCCACTCCTTTTTTCTACCGTTTCCTTTCCATCTGTTTGTGTCTGTCATTAATCATTCTCCCCTTGTTCACTGGGTAAATATTTATTTGTAATAAGTAGAGGAAAGGCAGCAGAAATAATCCTATCACAAAACAGCGGATGTCTCCAAATGGATTAGTAGATTGGTGTCCTGCTTAATCAATGTGTTGTGTAATACCTTTTGAGACCCTGTGTTTATTTAAGGGGTAATTAAGTTAAATGCTGCGGGAGTTTGACTTCACAGCTTCTCAACAAACTCTTCTTTCATTCAATGTTGGAAAAATAAAGAAAGGTGGGTTACTTGTGCCCAATTTATGTGGTGTATTTAAAAAACATTCTCTCATAGTTAAGAACAAAAGGTAAACACTAGTGTCCAGCTGATGCTTACACAATAGCATTTATGCATCTGGAATGTAATGTTTGCTTTCCTGCCGGTATTCCTGCGCTGCACTGCAGTGCCATGCTCAGTCCACTTGGAGGCGCTGTGCATCCTTTAGACAACACGATGTGGGTGCGCTTGTAAGTGCTACTGGTTTGTGTGTGCCAGTATTTTTCTGGCTATATGTGGCCCTATCTGCATTCATATGCCTCTGTGCAAAATCAAGGAGTGGGCTACCTGAGCTCATAATAACATTCCCATGATGCACCATGCAGCTCTGTACTGTACCAGCTTTACAAAATTGGCATTGTGAAATGGAGGGCCACTTTTCACAGTTACTGCCGATGTATTCCAGCCCTCAGCTCAATGTTTCATAGAATGCAACAGCACCAGTAGACCTGGGAACATTTTATATTTAAACTGCTTGAATATTTGAAGGTTGTTTTTTTTGTTTTTGATTTAAAGCAGCTCACAGCCGATCATAAACGCAGTGGGTGAAGACAAAGCTGAAGCTGACACAGTAGGAAATTCACATGCTGATTGATGCGTTCTACTATTTATATTATTGTGGACAATAATAGCAACCCATATGCATTGTAATGGCTCTAAAAACATTTTACTTCTGTAAAGCGCATTTGTATTATAATGTGTTTTGACAGTCATGTCTAATTCTTCATTTGGCATTGGGTTTTGTTGTGCTGTTTGGCCTCGCAAATTACTGTAGAGTTGAATCAGTCCACATTAACCTTTTCATCATGCAATGCTGGATTATTAGATTGTGCTCTTTGACATTATCATCAGAGCTTTTTTGAGCTTTGATTTGATTCCTATTTACCTGAACTTTGTGGTCACATTTAAATGGAGAAGTTAAATTAGTTCTGTTGATTTCCTGAGCCATAAGCATTGAACTTTCTCTCGTTTAAAAGAAAATATTTCCCTTCCTTGGAATTACAGCTCAGCATCTCCCTTCACAGTATGAAACCTTGAATGAAATATGCTTCAGTGTTATCTTTTTTTTGCTTATAATTCTGCATGTTTTAATCCGTTTTTCTCCTGGGTAGCTGTTCTTTTTTTCCTACCTTATTCCTTCATTCCCTTCCTTTTTTGTGTGTATTTCCTTACCAAACTCATGGTTGTTTAGTAATCCTTTGGTTTTTCCCTCGGCTTCCTCAAAGCTGCAGAATTACCGTCGCCTCTTATCCCTGATTTATTTATTTTGCCTCTAATTTTAGGCTTTTATGGAGCCAGGTTGAGACAGGTCAATTCATTAGTGTTTAAATGAGTGAGGTGCTTAAGCCTTTTGTCTGCAGACTGCTCAGCCATTTATGGAACATGGTGCCAGTGCCCCAGCTATGCTGTTGTTTTAATGAGGCTTATAGCTCACTTGCTGTTGTTTGTCTTGATTTTTAGACCGACAGCTGCAGCGCTTTGAGGTAAATAGTGGTTTTTGTGTACATCTCTTTTGGTGCATTCAGTCCTTTGTTTAGGTATCGTCGCACAGACACACACACACACACACACACACACACAGTTCTACCTTGTGAAGATGGTAGTCAAATGATATCATGTGATCTATAATTATCAATCATGATCACGCTTCATACCCACAGTCGTGATCATTACCACAATGTTTTTATAAACACTTTGGATTCCCAGCTATACCCCCACCTGTTGAAAGAATTAAGCTGCTGCTTATTAGGGCCCTGTTTGGAAGAACAAAGCCAATAACATAGCAGATTGCCAAGATAATTGCAAAATCAATTATAGTGACAAAATTGGGTTGATTAAGTGTGATCAATTTATGGACTTTAAATTTAGCTAACAGGCTTTATTGCTTGCTGTCCAAGGAGTGCATCTGTGAAGATTTTACCAATATTATTGATCTAGCTTATTGGGATTGCAGATAAATAAATTCCAGTCATTTTTAGGAAATGAGCAAACGAAGGTATGGAAAAACTATGTCAGGTAAATTTTCCTCACTTGGGCACATACTTTGTTTTAGTTCTAACAACAAACTAATAAGTGAGTATAAAAGGTGAGTCTATTTTAAATAATTCCCTGCTTAATATCATTAAGCAATCCCAATATTAGATTGCTTTCACTGTGATGTGTGCATTTCCCTAAGTGGATTGCCTTACAGTGTAGCTGCTGGGGTCTAGATCCTTATAGCTGCACTGTAAGGAGGGAGGAAGATGTTTTAGTTTGAGGAGGGTGAGGCTTTTAGTAAGTATTCTCATAGTCCAAACCAAAGGATATGTGATTCACTGAATGTTTTTGATTGCATATGTTTTTAAAGTAAAATACCTGTTTAAAGTACATGTAAAACTGTGACAATTATTTAAAAGGTATGAAATGGCACGTAACATGAGAACCAAATAGAGTCTAGTCTTACTTTCACAAGTATTAAAGAACTGCTGCATTAATGCAGCCTGTTTTTGTTTATCATACTGTTTATTTGTAACCAAGATCGTTTTTATACGAGTGTTTGTGACTACAGTTTCTAGACTATGCACAGCACTGTTATTTTGTCAACACTGTGCACCAAATGAAATGGAGGAGGAAAGATAAATCTTGGAAAGACATACTGCTGATTCAAGTTTTCTCCAGGTCTGTTTTACTCTGTTTTGCAGCTGCTATCACTCATTAAACAATGGCAGTCAGTATATTCCCACCACAATGCCTCTGTTTCTGCTTTCCAGTGCATAGTATCATTGAAGAGAAAAATAATTACATGAAGAATATTGCCACTTTTAGCTATGTCATTGTATCTTTGATGAATGCAAATGATCTATATATGTAAAAACAGTATTTTACGTAATAAGATTTTATGTAGGAAGATAAGAAGCTCATTATTATATCTAATAGTAAAAAACTTGACAGTATTTTAGGGGTCATAATGAATGGAAGACATCTTCAAATGATCAGTGTTATTATCTGTAAATTTCTGAAACATTAAGGGAAAAAAAGTAGAGTATAAAAAGTGATTCATTAAATTATTTTTATGCTATAAAGGCACATTGACAGCAACAGAGTAATTTAGATCAAGGTTGTGCCAAAGAAGCTCTTAATATGACATTTCTAGTTGCTACAAGGTACAAGTTTTGTGTCTGCTCAGAGTCGTCTTTTTACAAGTATGAGCTTTTAATACCAGCTTTTATTTAGGAGTTTAGGTGTTAATGCTTTAGTTGTAATTAAACAAGTCGCATACCTTCTTTGCTGTATATTGGAATTCCGTTATTAGACAGGATGTTGGTTTGAATGAAAGCTCGACCAGTAATTTAAAAATAATATTTCTTTTCATTTTAACTTAGATTCAATGATGACATTTTTCTCTCTGAACCCAGGATTTGTTGTTGTTCTTTGAATTTTACTCCTGAATATATTGAATATTAACCACTCAAAGCATATGCCTAACCATTCCTGTTAAAGCCAAGAAGACTTGGAGTACAAACGGGATTATCCCCCATTTCAGTCATCCTGCGGTGGTTCTATTCAGAAAAGGTATTTGTGAGTGTTCAAAAGCTGCAGAGTATTTGGGTGAATGGACTACAATGACATACAATGACTCTCACACACACACACACACACACACACACACGTAACAA